GTTTCAATTTAATCTGTGCAGTTTAGACTAATCTGCAAAGACCGAATTGATTCAGCCTTGGGGTTTTTGACTGCCTGTACCTAGGCCTAGGCAGCAGTGCACTCAAGTACGCTGTGCTTTTCCAGGCAGGTTGCCTCCTCGTGAGGTCTGGCACCATTTAGCCTGTTTGCATGGTCCTGGCTGTAAGGCCTCCAGTTTAAGAGGCAGCCTGCCCAGTGCTACACCATGTGCTTGAGGGTGCTGCCATTGGGGATAGAAAGTTTACCATAAAGGCATAGTCCAGAGTATAAGGGACTGTTTGGAGCTTTTCCTATGAAGGCAATGGAATGGAGGCCTTAGGTGCCAGGCCTATCTATGTGGGATCTTGGTTGGTCTGCAAAGTGAAGAACCCCTGACTGTCTGGCATAATTGTCAGGCCTGCTCTCTCTGATGTCCTCTGGTCTGTTGCACATCTGGGAGACAGTGTGGGTTTAGATTGGGGCCTTGGGCCAATGCCCTCTTCAGTACTTTGCAACACGGACAAGTAATTAGAACACTATTGGAGGTGTGGCTTTTTATCCTTAACCCTTGATTAAGTTGGTTCCTAAGGCATGCAATCCTAAACAGGTAGTACCTAGCACATGTTAGTGTTTAAACAGGAAGTAGTTTCCATTCACCATGAGCCCAGAGCAGTAGAGATCACACAGGTAAACAATGGCCTGTCAGGTGAGGTCTGTAAAACCGTAGGAAGGCAGCTGGAGGGCCACCAAATACTTTGAAGCGCAGGTGTGTCCACATGAAAATCTCTGAGGCATCTTTTTCTGACTAAAATTTAATCCTGATTCCAAAAGAAGTGAACTCTTCTCCAGAGCAATCTCTCACTTTATGTGGACACAGCTCTTTTCATCAGTATGTTCATGTAAACTATCCAGGTAGACGAACCTTCAGTTCTTCAGCAGAAAGGTTGGCAAGTCTAGACATAATTTGTAAGGCCTGGGAGAGGTCTGAATTGAAAATAATGCCTAGGTAATGGGATTGAATGATAGGAAAATGGTGGTGTTGTCAGTAGAGACTAAAAAGGGATAGCTGTTGGATGATAGTTAACAAACTATATATATAAATAGTTCCAGCTGGTGTAATGCCAGGGAAGTGTTCTTTAGCAGCACAAAAATCTCACCCAGTCCTGGGTATACCTGTGAACTACTTGGCTACTGCTGGAGTTAGCCATGCTATCCTTGGGGGTGATGTTGGTAAACAGGGTGGCTCTGAACAGACAGAGCTCTATTATTTATGTAGAGCTTGAAGCCAACAGGGTTTCTAACATGTTTTTCTGCTGCACTTTGTGTGAATTGTAAGTCCTTTCTCATTGCTACAGGTTCCGTGTCTCCAGGGGGGTGTTGTGATGGAGCATGTCTCTGCTGCCATGACATTGTAGTTACAAGTGCTTATGGCTTGCACTTTACCATAACGGAGCAGGAATAATATCTCCCTAAACTCTGTGCAAAACATGAATTTTTAAAAAAATATAAAGGCCCCTCTGCCTTGCAACTAATGTATTTATTTGTTTTACTTCAAGAGATTTTTTAAAATTAACTTATTTTCCATGTTAAGTGTTTTTCTTCACAATTGTATGGGTTTTTTCCCCTTTTGGTCAGTAAAACAAAATAAGCCAGTTACTCTTTCTTGTGGACTGACAATGCTGTTTTGTTTAGGTTTTTATAATGCTGAAACTTCCTGTACAGTTTTTCAGAATACTCTATTAAAAAGGCATGGGGAGGACAATCTAAGGCTTAAATATCTAATGCTATCTTTAGGTTAAGATTTCCAAAGTGACTAGTAGTTTTGAATACCCAATCAAGGGGGTACCACCTTTAGACACCTTAATGGTCCTGATTTTCTTATTAGAAAGTGCTGAGCATCAACCTTCTGAAAATCAGAACCTGTAAAAATGTACCAAAATCTCTAGTCACTTTGGAAATCTTGGTCTTCATGGTTTAGTTAAATAAAAGAAATAGTAGCATATTACAACAAAATGGAAGACACAGATTTCTTTTGAGCTAACTCACCCTGTACACAGTCTTAGAATGCAGACAGTAAGGCCAAAACAGAGAAAATGGGAAGAGAAATATGTAGCTTGTGGAGGGCTAGTGACTTATGGCTGTGTCATTTTTACAAAGGATGTGCATTGTAGGGAAGAATGGATTTTGACAAGGATTTCACTGCCACAAACTTTCTGAGAAATTCAAGGTGCAGAGATGGGGATTAGACTCTTAAGAGTATTCAGAACAAATTAATTGTGATGGAACCAACCAGTTGTCCAACTTGCCCACTAACTCTAAAAGTGGTCAAGGCTAGGGGATGGTATAAAACACCATACTTAATCTAATAATGCAGTTGTCTACTATGGAAAGATTATTATCTGATCTGGAGCTGATGAGCTGTTTTAAGCCTAGAATTATGAAGACTGATAACCTTTAATATCTCTATCTTGGCAAATATCATTGCAGATGTTACTCTGATTCATACATGCCTTTACTGAAACTTTTACTGTTTTTTTCCCCCCTTAACTATCCATTTTGCATCTCGAAGTTCAACAGATAAATTATATGTTGGCTAAAACTGCGTCACTGTATCACTTGCCTTTCAGTTTTAAGGTGTGTCTTTATGTAAAAATAAAGAGCAGTTGATTGGACACTTATGTACTCTTAGATATTTTATCTCATCTTGTTTTTCTCTCTTTGCGCCAGATCCTGCTTACTTTTTTCATAGGGCCAACACCAACAGTGGGATGGGCTTTCTGCATAAGTAATGGAGGACAAATCAGTCTAGGTGTTAATACCGATAGGTAGCAGTCCACATTGTGCCCCCCAGTCATAGAATCATAGGAAGTGAGGGTTAGAAGGGACCTCAGGAGGTCATCTAGGCCAACCCCCTGCTCAAAGCAGGACCAGCCCCCAGTAGTCCCCTTCATTGACTTGCTTCAGGCCTCTGCTGAGGTGCTTTCAGCTACTGCACTTAGTAAAACCAACAATCCTGGGCTGGGATTAGATTTAGGCCAACCAACTTTCTTGTTGGCATGCCTGAAAGCATTAGGGAAGTGGCCTCTAAAGTATTAGTGAAAGCTAGCCCCCTGGAGCTCCCGGCCCCTTGCCCAGGGCAAGTCTCCTGTGACTTAGCTAACCAGGGGATGGCCTTCTAAAGATGCCTGCTGTCCAGGGCTGGTCCAAGGGTAATTGGCACCCTAGGCAAACTGTGTACTTCAGTGCCCCCACCACTTCCAATATAGAGGAAAATAAGAAGTCTAGAATGAACTTTTATGGCTTGGTGGGGAGAGCAGCCTGGAGACTGGCCTCTGCAGTCATGGGCGACTGGTGCCACCTTAGTCGGGGGGACACATGCCCCCCAGTGACCAGTCAGCGACTGGGGGAGCCCCCCTGTGGCCAATCTTGCCAACCAGTGGGGAAGGGGTCCCCCCTGTGGCAAAATTCACCAACTGGGAAGCTGCTGCGGTGTTCCCAGAAGCGGCCGTGGTGCTATATCCGGTACTCCCACTACCCAGCCAGTGCCCTAAGCGGGGAGTGGGGCTCTCAGGGGGGCACATGCATCCCCTATGTGTTGCCAGTGCCTGCAGTCCCAATGCTGGCCTTGGGTCTGCTGGCCCGAAGTGAGGGGCACCACTGGCCTGGGGGCAGGGAGTGAAGGGCACTAGCAGGGTTGGGGGCAGAGTGGGTCCAAGGTGGAGCCGCAGCCGGCCAGGGCTGTTATGCGGAATGATGTTCCTGTTATTTTGTTCTGTGTATCATTTTGGTGCCCCCCCCCCCAATTTTGTCACCTTAGTTCACCTAATGGTTGGCCCAAGGAAAGCCTTAGGGAGCGGGGCTTCCTTGCTGGGTGGATGCCAAGCGGGGGCTGTGCGCTCCCTAAGCTGCAGCTGAGGAGCCACGAAGCCGGCTCTCTGAGGCGGCGCCTCTCGCTTCCTTTCCCGCGCAAACCCAGCGCCTCCCTCCCTCCCTCCTCTTCCAGCACGAGGTGCCCTCGCCAGGCAGGGGAAAGGGCGGCGTTTGCCCCGCGGACACGTGCCCGGCCCTGCAGCGGAGTAGGGGGTCATTTCGCCGCCCCCTCCTCTCCGGCCCAGGCGCGTCGGCTGCCCGCGGCTTGGGGCAGGACACGCGCCCCCGGGGCTCTGCTGTGTCCGCCTCTGGCCGGCAGGAGGCGCCGTGGCTCCGGGATAAGCCTCCCCCTGCTCCCGCGCGTGACGTGGGAGCTGCCTGTGCCAGCGCCTCCGCCGCTTCCTCGCGCCCCTGCCCCTCCCTCCCGGCTGCCCGTGACTGGCAATGCCCCTGCAACGCCACCAAGGGGCGGGGGCAGCCCAGGCTCCCTGCTCGCTCCCTCCGTGTTGGAGCCCCCGGGCTGCATCTGATTTGCCGCCTTTTGCGAGCCCCCCGGGGGGGGTGTATTGGGGAGGGAGTTGTGGGAAGGGGGGGATCCGACCCCGATACCTCTGATCTAACCACCTGCCCAGAAGATCCCGCGTGAGCCTGGGGAAGTTCAAAATGCCCGAGGCGCCTGGGCGCCCGGCTTTGCAGGAGACGGGCGGGAAAGAGCCAGCCCCGAGCATTGAGCATTGTGGAAGCGGGGCTCGTAGGTACGTGTCTCGGGCAGACAGCCGCCCGGAGGAGGAAGAGGATGGGGATGGCTCTTGTGCAAGGGCAGGGGGGGAGAATACCTGGGAGTTCACTCAAACAAATGCTCCCTTCCCGCCCCCCCGCCTTATTAAGGCGCCGTTGGGAGTCGCCGCTGGCTCCACGGGGCCGGGCGGTGCACGGTGCAACCCCCGCCCCAGACACGCCGCAGGTGGAGGAGCCCAGCCCGGTCCCCCCCAGCAAAGCCCAGATCTGCCGCCTGGTCCCTCCACCAGCACAGCCCCGTTGAGGCCGAAAGAGGGGTGGGAGGGGAGGGGAGAGGAGGGGAGGGGGTGGGAAGACACGGACAGACGTGTCAGCAGCAATGCAGATGGGGGTGGGAGCGGCACTCGCTCCGCTAGTTAAGTGCTCGTTGCGAGGGGTGGGTGCGACTCGGTACGTGTGTACGGGGGCGGGGGGGCCGCGCTCTCCCGGCGACTCGCTCCTTCTCCCGGCTCGTAGCCGTGCTGAGCCCAGGAATGGGAGAGCCAGACCGTACCCGAGTTATTTATAGACTCGTGCCAGCTGTTTTTTGATTCCGCTCGTGTGCGCTGTTGGGAAATGCGTTTTGCCTCTCGTTCTTCCAGCCCTCTTCATGTCTTTCTTGGGGAGCGGGTTTGGTCGCCCTCAGCCCCCTCTCATCAAATATTGATGCATTTTTTTCCCCTCCAGGAGGGGGACGCTTTGGGAATAATCATGCTTCACAGAGGACTGGCACCGACCTCCAGTTGCTCCAAACACCATCTTCTCCACTAGGGCTCCGGGAAAAGAGTCATGATAAGAATCTATTTCTTCTTTTTTTTTAATATATAGATACATACAGAAATAGGCACGAGGAATGCTTGCTGGGGAGCCTGCATTTTACGATCCTTGCCGCACTCTCTGAAGCGAAGCTCTTCTCCTTTTCCATTTGCACCGCTCGAAGACACGAGATTTCCAGATTTTTTTTTTTACTGCCAAATAGGATTTTTTTTCCTTTGTCTTTCCACCTGCTTGTCCCCCGACCCTTATTCTTCTTATGTGGATATGCAAGCAAGAAGAGGAGACTGGATATTCCCAACATGCTCACTCCCTTAATCTGTCCATCTAGAGGTTCTGCTTCTACAAACCAAGGTAGGGAGATTCCCCTTTCCTTCCTTTCTTCTTCCCCCCCTCCCCTCCAAGATCATTTAAATGCATTAATTGGTAAAGAAAACAAATCGTGCCCCATGTAGTAAGAAGGCCGGGGGTGTCATTTTTAGGAGCTAAAAGGAGGCAATAATCATCAGACATGTTGATTCCGCTCTTCCCTTGTCTCATCCACCAGGATGTGGAGGGTGGGGGAGGAATGCTTGAGTTCCCGATCATAGGGGTGAATTAAGGGAAAGTCTTCTGGAGGTCTATTTTTTTGGGGGGGGGGGG